GGGGGGGGGGGGGGGGGTTCGACACCGGCCGCGCCAATTGTTTTCGCTTCTAATCGCGAATATCGTATCGCGTACATATCGATATGCGTAACGACGCGATCGACAGCATGCCTGAGCGGCCCTTCGTCGTGTCGTTTTATCGCGGTCGTAACTACTTCGCCGAGGAATGCGTGCCGTCTGCAAAAATCGATCGCGATCCGATCGGAGATACGACGACTCGCGCGAGTGACCGGTTTCTCATTCGATTGCACGAAAATTCGACGAATCTAATATTATATTTATATTTCACGTATTGAAAATTAAATATTGAACATATCAAGAAAAAAGAAAGAATATTTTTTAAAAATTTTTAAAAAGTCGCGCTTAATTTTCATAGAGTTGCCGTAAATTGTTTCGAATTCGTAATGTCGAATTGCCAAGATGCTCCGTTTTCCCCATCCCCAGCTAGCGGTTTCGTGGCCTGTTCTAAACCGGCCTGCGATTAACGCTCGCAATTTACGCGCGGAAGCCGCCGCCACCGCCGCGCGACGCAACGTGCACTCGAAATGATTTATACGAGCTCCGTCTCTGTACGTGACGCGTCGTTTACCACCCGCTCTCCGGCGAAGATTAATTAACCCCGTGGCGTTTCGAGGGAGAAACGTGCTCCGCCTGGAGCGCTCTTCGCGGGGGCGACGCGGGGCCCGCCGGCTTTGGTTTCTTAATCCAATTTCGTGGCGCATTAATCTAATTATGCCTAGGCATATGCACGTGACGTGCAACTATGTCGGCCGCTCTGCTGGATTTTCGTAATGCAATGGCGCCCGGACGTCGAGGAAGCTGTCGGGTAGGCGAGAAACTCGTCCGCACCGAGTGCCCCAGAACTGTCGAAGAGAGGTAGATAGATAGATAGATAGATAGATAGATAGAGATCTATATATATATGATGTTTTAAAGATAGAATTTTCTCTTTTATGATTTAAAGCACATTTGCATCTTAGGAAAAAATCCATATAAGTCATACGAAGAAAAACTTAATAAACTTTTCGCGAATTTAAAAGTGAAAATATACAAGCTATGAAACTTGCGACACTTTAATATATTCATTGCATGCAAATGTACTCGAGCAATAAAACAGTAAAGCAAATTTTACTCTTAACTTAGACCTTAGTTACTAAGATTTAATGCTAAAATATGAAAAATTTATAAAAATTTCTTAAATGGAATTTGTGTTTAAAAATATAAATATCGCGAATAAAATATTCGTACGACTTTAGACAAAATATTCCAATCTTCTCTTAAAAAAATCCTTAATAAAACAGTATTGAGAGAAAATACTAGGCTTATAAGTTCCTATCGAAAAATTACGATTGCAATATCGCCGATCGCGAAGTCGTCCGAGCATTGATTCGAGAAATGGTTGTTCGTTTGCTGGCGAAACTTTCGCTTCGACCTATTAGGGGGCACTAAGTTTCACATTAATTACATCATCTATGTTCACCGGTCTCATAATAAGGACCGCGCTTATCGTTAGATGTTACAAACCGCGGAAGTTCACGCGCACTCCCGCGCGAATAAAGTATCAGAGAGAAAGATGGAGAAAAAAGTGCAGGGTGAGCGAAGCAGTATGTCGAATAACTTCCTAGAGGTGCGCCTGTCACGAAGCCCCGGGTCATTGGTCACCTCGTTCTTATCTCGCATTGTCTGCGGCCCATCTTATGCACGGTGCCGTTGCTCGGTTCACCATAAATGGAATTAATTCATTTACCAGCTTCGGGATTATATAGAGGAGTCGGTCGGAGAAGTAATGAAAGAGCTATCTTTAGTAAATATTTTTGGTCGACAGTTATCTCGTTATTAGTTATCGAAGCAATTAATCAGAATGATTGCATTGGCATATAACTACTTTATAATTGATTATATTTGTAGGCATTAAATTCAGAAAATTTAAAATCAAAATCTCTATTTGTTAACTGTATATATAGTGTTATGAGATTCGCTCTTTTAATAATTATCCACAACTTTCTCTACCAATTAAACGTTATGCAAAACTGCATAAACTCGCAAAATTAAAAAAATTGCATTGCATATTTTAAATACAATTTATTCTAAATTACTATTCGATGGGATAATTTATTTTTACGTAACACCATCGGATTCACACTTAAGTTTTACGAAAGAGAAGGAAATTTAATAGTAGATGAATCGCCGTCTGCGAGCAAAATGTGGCCTCGAATGCCCGCTTCTGTTATCCAGGCTTCTGGCTGCGGCAGCTGCCAGAAGCGCGTTAAAACTTTGATGCAACAGTGAAACAACGCGCGTTAAAACTTTGAAAGCGAATGGTTCGCGCGAAACCGTTTAATACAGATTATCGTGTAATGTTCGCCGGGCACTGAGTCACGACCGTTACTTTTCCTCCAAGAGGAGATTCTCTCTGGAGAAATCCGAAACAATCGTCGACACGCCCATCCACATACACCTATACAGATTTATCCGCGCTTCGTTAGGTAACGGGCAACAATGTGTTTCGCTTGGCGCATATCGTCTCAATGTAACGTAATAATCGTGAGCTATCGCGGTTTATAAACTACTACGAGCGAGTCTCGTCAATATCGACAGATCCGTTTCGCAAAATATGCAGACGTTCTCTCATCAGATGTCCAGAAATTTTATTACAATTTTAATTCTAATCTTTTATTATGATTTTTAATATATGTCAATTTCTTTTTTGTCGAAGTAAAAAATTGTATCTAGAGTTTAATAATAGAAGTCCAAATACAATAAAAATTATATTATACATGTTCCCGATATTTCACGTATTACATTGCAATCTTATAAATGCATCGTATCGCATATTATTTGATCATCCATATCGCAAATATAGCTTTGAGATATAGTATAGAAGCCATATTAGAGACTTTTTACATTATTTTACGAATTATTTTAATAATAGGAATTTTTAGGTCATTTTTTTATCGCCACGCTTACTTACCGTTTCCGTCTCGATCAACGCAAGCGTGAAGCCGCTTATCCATAATACCGTGTATCGCGCAATGCGTGACGATCACGACCGTTAACTTTCCATGGATGAGACTCTCTTCGGAGAGACCGAAACAATTGTAGACACACCCATCCACGTACAATATATGCAAGCCCATCGTGTCTAGTTAGGTAACTTGCAACAATGTGTTGTGGACTATAAAACATCGCGTAAGTATTCAGTATACCATTGTTACCGAATCATTACATTCTCGCCCGATCCGTTTGTTTACATTATACTACAAATTAAGATCATGATTCTTCACTCTCACGGAACGAATTTTAGCACGCGTCTTTAGATTTATTCTCTTTTGTATGCGTTTGAATTATATGCGAGTGACATTTTATATCGAAGAAAGCTATGATCTCGTTATTTCCGATGCGCTTAAGTACTCGTTCCATTTTGCTTCTCGCAAAGTTTTCTCTCGATCATTTCCCATCTCCGTTCTGAATGACGAACTAGGAAGCAACGGAGGCACTGCCCACGATACGTGATTACCTGCCATTCGTAAGGTTTTGAGCGGTGACCGCCCTTGCTGCGGAAATTATGAAACCGGTCCGTAATTGAAACTTGACTAATGACAGGACGGGTCATTGCGTATATTATTATAGAGCCATGGATTGTCATTAGCTCCCCTCGCGCAGCCGCGGTGTGCCGGACGCTTCACGGAACCGCAATAGTGCTCCACGTGGGAAAGGATGCATTAAAAGTGCATCAAACATTGGTGGGGAACTAGTGGCGAGCGGTGCTTGCCGAAAGGCAAGCATTCGTCTGTCGAAATTAACATGGTAAAGGCGGGCGTACTTTCGCAACAGAGATTAGCTGTACAAGCTCCAACAGAGAGCAAAGATGCTTGAGTACTAATTATTATCATCATCTACATATTTTACTATATCCAAGGATGAGCGAATAGGGCGGATATATAGAGCTAAATTATACAGATATTTTATACGCATCACACACATTTAATAAAAAAAAATAATTCTTTATCTAAATCATATTTTTAATAAATTAATACACAAACTCATAATATTTCTGAAAAATGCATTTTTAATTTCACGCGATATATTAGCCCCCAAAAAACCATATTCTGATGTTCTAAAAAAGTTAGAATTGTGGAGATTAAATTATAATATCCTATCGATGTTGCGTGCCACATCTTCATTATCATACCTGCCCAAGTGTAACGTGAACACGTCAAAGTACTTAAAGCGCGATCGTTCTTGTGTGTCTACAGATGGAGTATAGAGGCGCGCCGCACGGGCAGCAGGAGCAGCAGTAGCGTTCAGCTATCGTCGGGGACCTGATCGGGCCCGATCTCGCGCTCGGGGGGACGCGGGACCGCGGGGGCGCCGCGGCCGAGCGAGCGCGATGGCCGCGACCGACGGTCAGATCGTCGTCGCGGCGGCACGCTGGGCCGAGGAGGCGACGTATCTGCGCGAGTTCGTCTCCAAATATCGTTTGCCAGGCGTGATCAAGATCACCAAGGGTCAGTACGGCGGACTGGGCGTGCCGACGCTACCGGCGCCCAGTTTACAAAGCACGGCGTTGCTGATATCGGCCGGTCGTCGGCGTAAAATCGTGGCACAGGCGGTGAAGATCAAGGAGGGCCGTCGAGTTGTCGGCGTGGGGCCCAGACTCGCGATACCGGATTCGTACGGGGGCTACTTCGAGATCCTGAGCGAGGAGGGTCGCGCGGTGCGCGGCATCGAGTCGGTAAGCGAGCTGTCGCGTAGATGCCCGGAGGAAGGTGCCTTGGTGCGCGAGACGGTACGCGCCATCGCCTGTCGGGTGGACGACGAATCGGGGATCGTGGTACCGGAGGGTACGAGGACCCTCGCCGCCGGCGAGACGATTGTCACCGCCGGCGAGGTGGCGTTACCCGGTCGCGGTAGATTTCTGCGCTGCGTGGACTGTCGCGGCGACAGCGTTCTACTCGGGATGGATCAACGTGGCCGCTTCAGCGCCCTGGCGCGCGAGGACAACATCAGCGGCGTACACACCGCTAGGGCGCTTCTCAGCAAACGTCTGCCGCTTACCGTGAGACTGGTGCACGGCCAGCCGCCGCGGGGACTTAAATCGTCGTCGCAGTTCGTGCCCGAGCTGAGGCTGCTGTCGACCTTCGAGGAGGAGCACGTGTTCGCGCTCCCGTTGCAAAGAGAAGGCGCGGCCGTCGCGCTACCGCTCGCGGCGCCGCTCAAGCTGGTGAAGGCGCGGAACGAAGAGGCGCTCAGATCGATGCAGGAATTCACGAGGCTGGTGGAACGCGCCTCCCGTTTGGTCGCCGACGTGGCCGATCGAGCGCACGTGCTGGACGGTCGTCTGGGCGAGGGCAAGTCCTCGAGGCAGAGGAGCGGCTCGGGCTTTCTTAGGAGACCATCGACCAACTCGGATCACGCGCCGCTGGGTCACCATAGAAACAGCAGCGCCAGCCATCATCATCATCATCATCACTATCACAGCAGCAACGGCCATCAGGCGTCCTCCGGTCACTCGGGTTATCGGGACGAGAATAGGATACCGTCATCATCGTCGGCTTGCACGGAGGAATATGACGAGATCGATCAGATATACGATTATGTGCGCGGCTTCGCGCCATTGCCGAAGAGC